GAGAGGCGGGTTAAGACCGATGCCATAGACGAAATCACGTCAATGCATAGTACAGAAGCTGTACCTGTAGAGACAGTATGCGTCTTGATTTCTGAACACCAAGATCTGCGTACCTCACTTGTCCTTCGGCGATTAAAGTCAGAAAAAGAGGACTTCCAGCGTGTGGGAATCACGGGCGAAATTGGCATTGAGGATCCTATGGAGGATGTATGGAATCTCTTCCCACGAGAAAAGCGCATAGTGACAATAGTGTAGCTATGTACATCTTCATGTGGACGTCGAACTGCTTCTAGTTACATTCTCCTCGATATCATTGTGGCTGCTATGCTGCTCGAGTCAGGAATAGAATAGGACCCCGTCACTGCTCATCGATCCACCGGACCTCGGCGTTGCAGGAAACATGTGGAATACCCATGTATTTCAACACCATTTTAGATGAGAGGAACGGTGAAAGAGTTAATTTTAGATGTGAAAAGTCTGTCTACGCGCGTTTGCGCCGTATCTGCTTCCGGTCACGGTGATAGTGAGCAGGGCCCCGATCTTCGTCTCGTAGGTGTGAAAGATGCTCGCGTATCAGCACACGTGGTGAAAACCAAACCGTTGACACTGTACTCACATGATACATCAGCTGGCGGAGCTCGTCACCCTGCTGGCTAGCGTCAAGTACCTTCTCTTCACCTGTTCTTCCTACGCATTCTTTCTCATTACTACGTACAGCAGAGCAACATCGCTCAACCAAGCTTACAACAACCCTATACCAACAACACACACGAATACCAAAATGAACACGCCTCGCCAACCACCTGCTCAGCCACAAGCCCCCGGCCTGATAACATCATCCCCTCACACTCTCCAAACCTTCGACCTAACCGCACCCATCCTGCGCTTCGACTTCCCCACGCCCGCCGCCCAAGCCACCTTCCACCGCGCCTTTCTGCAAGTGCGCAACGAAAAAGACAAAGCAGCTTTCATGCAGCGTTTCTTCGATAGTTATGACGGCCAAGTATCTATTCCACGAAGGGTTATCATGGATACAAGTCAAGATGAGGAAGTTGCGAGGAGGCTACAGGAAAGTCTGCCAGTGGAGCTAGATACAGGGAGGGATGAGCATATGGCGAGACAGCTGCAGGGGCAGATGGAGCAAATGGGAATGGGCGGATTTGGAGGAGCTGGCGGAGGTTCGGCTAATCGAGGACACGGTCAGATGAATGAACGAAACGACAGCACAAACGGTAGAAGATATGGTGAAGGAAGCAGAGGCGTGGTCGTACACGATGAAGATGAAGCGTACTGCGCAAGAAGACGAATCGAGCGTCAGAGGGAGATGCAAGAATGGGCAACCGCGGCGCAAGGATGGACGAACGCGGCTGACGGAGCCTACGTTGACACCATGGAAAGGTTAAGACACCAGTTTAGACGGGCGGGCCTTCAAGATCCTGGTGCGTATCCTGGACAACCTGGATATAGCAACGCGCCTCCTCGACGAAATCCTCGACTACCGTCTCGCCGCTCGGAGAACCAAGGAAATGAGTTCGAGGACTATCATGGTAATGGTGGGCAGGGCTCTTCAAGATATGGTCAAGGTAATGGAGGGTATGGTTACGGCTATGACCCGCGCCGGGATCACTGGGGTCATCGAGGTGGAGGTTATTAGATGAACGGGTGGTGATAGTGGTTCTTGGGTTTGGGCTCAGCAGATCGTTGTAGAAGTCTGCAGCAAGCAATCAAGAGATGAAATTGCGGGAGTACCTCCAGTTCTGTCCCAGTGAAAGTGAAACTACTTCTGACTCGAAGTATACCTACCAGACAACGACGATAGTGCTAACGCAGACACCGCCTCCAATCATCCATTGATGCAGGCCGGTAAATTACCCGCTCGTCAGCCTCGTACGTTAGCGCACGCCCTCGAAAAGGCTCTGGTGAAGCCGACGCTTCTCTTGGTTGCTTTCCCTTCTCCGCCCTGGGCGTGTCATCGTCTGGGGGCGTGATAGGCTCTTCGTTCGGTGGCGTGGAAGGGCTGTCTTTCGGGGGCGAGGAGGGCTCCTCGTTCATCAAGATGATACCCTCGCACAACATGCCGACATACTCTGTCTAAGTGTTATGCGTCATTGGCCGCTTGTGTACCTTCCTGACCTTCTGGATGTTGTATCCATTGGCACAGTGATCAAGGAGGTGGTCGAGAGGCATTCCGTCGTCGGAGAAGAGCTCGCCAAGTCTGCCCCGAAAGTCATCGCGGTCGATGGGGTCGTTGTGGATGACGTCGTCTGGTAGACGTTTGCTCAAGATGTGCAGAACGAGGGAGCAAAAACAGCGATTGGGGGCGTGATCCTGGTAGTCGGACGATTGTATCCATTGGACAAGTTCTGGGACAAAGATCATACGAAGATCCTCTTCGTTGGGCATACTCCACGGGATTGGATGTCGGCCAATGTGCAGAGGTGCCAGATCTTTGGGTCCCGCCTCGTAGCGTTTCTTCATGAACCTTTTTGTCAGAATCAATCTTAGCCTCTTCGGGTGTATCGCGTTTGGATCGATCGTGGGTGAGTCAACCGTCGTTGGTGAGTCAACCGTCGTGGGTCCGTCGGCGAGCTTTGGTGACGGAGGTCCTTGCGGAGAATCGCGTCGTATAGGCTCTTTGGGCGTCTCTTCCTTCTGTGTGTCCGGGAACATATCATGCGCGAACCCCGCCTAGACGCCCGGCAATCTCCTCGCACATACTTTTCCATAGCCTATGGGGTAGGAAAACGACCGCGCCCTGAGAGTTGGTATGGGCGGAGCCTTGTACTCGGAAGTATCCATAGCGATAGTATCTGGACTTTGGCGATGTGAAGGTGAGGATATGAAGATAGCGCAATAACGATGTGGTGGTGTGCTGGAGTGTGGTGACTGTGACTGTGAGTGGAGTGAAAGTGGTGTTTGGGTCAGCAAGATGCGCGACTGCTCTGACCACGTCGATATTCTTCCGCCCTTTCCATCTTGTGTAGCTTCCCTGCTCTTTCCTATCTTCACATGGGAAGGTGCCGTACCCGGACGAAACCATGCCACGAGCGACGATTACAGTTTCTACAGCCTCGTAGTAGCAGCCCGTCGTTGTTGTCACAGCGCATATCTGTTGGAAGGCCTTTGTACGATCGTAAGAGATGGTAAAAATAACTGAGTTCTTGTAGGTTGGTGTATATTACTATAAACGTAGGCGCTACCAAGGTATACCCAAGTTCGGCATGCGCCGGGCCGAGGTAGGATCGAGGCGGTATCTGAGCATCATTGGGGGACATCGTGGGAGCATGCCGACCCCAAATCCTCCTTGAACGATCTTTACAGCTCTCTGCAATAGCAGAAACAAGCATCTGGATTCTTCCTGTAATTGAAGTAAGCTTCTACCTTTCTCGAGTCTGCGACGTGATACATACAACTGTACTCTGTATACCTGAACTGCATCTGCACCAGGGAAGCAAGTGTCTGCACAGCCTTTGTTTTGGCCTACAGAAGGTTATAATTCGTTAGCGAGTGACCAGAAAAGAAAACGCTAGTACGAAAGATTGCTTACATGCTCGGTTGTCTGCAGTAGAACAGCTCCATTCATCTTTTGGGATCGCGTCTCCACCTTTCAGGCAAAAGTACCTTATCTCGGCAGCGGCGAGTGAGGTGAATAGCATTGCGGCAACGATTGACAGCTTCATAGTGAATGATTTTGGGGTGCTGAAAGTTTTGTGATTAGAGTGAATGTAGACTGCTGAGTAGAGATGTGATTCTCTGAGGCGGTCGGTGGGTAGCTTTTGTATGCCACGAGCAAGCCACAGTCTCCCGTCTCACGCATGGTACGCCATACCATTCCAAGGAACTGCTCAGATAGAGTTTGAAATTCAAATTTGGCCGGGAGTCTCCTGGTAAGATTTGTTAAATTTGGTGCTTACATTCAAGGGCATGAATTGTGTGCATCTTACTCCATACCACCTGCATAAAATTGGTATGGCGCGCTACGGCTGTAATGCTGCATAGTGCGTGACCTAACTACTTTGAATGATTCGGCACGCTGTAGACTTCGGCCCGTTCTCACCTCTTCTACCGGAAGTCTAGACTATGATTCGGAGTTTGGTCCGTTGATACAGCCCTCGAGTCCATGAAGTTCTGTCTTCGTGCACGAAGCCTGAAACCAGGAAAGCTACCACTCAGCACAAGAGGTAGTCATTGTATGGAAAGAACAAGAAACCGTACCTAACCGTTGACAGGAAAAGCCATACTGGCAGCTTTTACTATTCAAGAGTTATCTCAAACAGTATACTTAAAGTCGCTACACCGCCTGAATTGGCTCGTACCGGCTCGTACATCTGATACAGAATACGGCGTCTGGTGATGCTGAGTAGTATCTCCGCCTATCATTCGACTGTCTTAGTGATGCCTGGGTCTTTGTGTAGCAAGGATGGCAATGTTGTGGCGGCTGACAAGGACGGCACTCTCATACCAGAAACGGCCCGCGACGATCTGTTGACCCCTAATTCTCTCATGTAGATATTCGTCTTCGCTGTGTCTAAGAGTCGAGATCATGCCAAGCTTCTTTGTATACAATAAGCGGTGTGATAAGTTCTAACTCCTCGCAATACATCCTCCATCGATGCGTTGACGAAGTAGCGATCGTCGTAAGCAGCACGCACCTTCCTAGCACATTAGCCATGATCAAGCCGCGCGATGTACGCTTTGACCATCATTGTTGTCCAGTCTGGTTCAAGGTGTGGAAAGAGCGACATCGAGCAAGGGCAGTTGCTGGTAACATGCAGGGACGGACTTACATGGGGCAAGAACGGCTCAACCATGACAGCCCACTAAGGTACACATCGTCTTGAGTCTTGTCAACGTCTCAACGTCAGATACGGCGGATATCGGTGAGACCTTTTAAGTCTGAGTGAATTTGGAGCACATGAGCTCTTCCATAACGTCGCAATCACGATCCACTGAGCTCTTCGATATAACAGTTCGTCAAAATTCGTATTCGTACAATGGTATCACTCTTCAAAGCCCATCCACTCGCCTATATCCTCGCCTTCATCACTGTCAACCATCTCTTCATCCGATATCCCATTCTCTATCGCTTTGACCCCAAAGTCGAGTTGGGCTGACTTCTCCTTCTCCTCTAGCGGCTGCGCAAGCAGATATTCGATGCGATAGATGTTCTCATCAGCTAATCTCGCGAGCTCAGCCTGTATCCGGCGAACGGCTTTCTCAACGCTTCTCAACTCGGCCTCAAGTCCGCCCTTGTTGTCCTTCATCCATCGACCGTGCTTGCTGAGCAGTGCCTCGATCCACACTAGGTTGAATTCCAGATGCGGGGACTCGTCGGCTTGAAGGGCGACAAATCGTAGTAACCGACCGAGATATACTGATGGTAGGTCCTTGACTACTAGAGCGACGTTGCTCACGGGCGTAGCTTCATATACGCGGCGAATAAGGTTGCGCTCGTTTAGACGGAAAGCCATGACCAGTGCCTTGAGGTAGTCTTTCTGTGCGAGAGTCTCGAGAGTTGTCGCCGGTGTGACGGTGATGTCTAGGTCGAAGGGATCGAATTGGAACGTGTTGTCAAGTGAGTAAATTAGTAGACCTTCTGTTGAAGCGGCACAAAACGCTCGGCCAGTTGGCGAAAACGCGACAGCAGGTACGCGTACTTCCGGTCGTGTTTTCCGCGCGCCAATGCCCTTTTGCGCACCAGGTAATGTTGTGTCGCGCCGATCTTCCAGATCGGACGCTTCGCCTTGGTCGTCGATGAGACCTTGTGGCCCAGCATCTGTGAGCCGCTTGCTGTTGAGGAACTCTTGTGTGCCATCGAGAGAAAGGTTCACGGATACAGTGAACTTCTTGAGCAGCACACCAGACTGAACATCGTATAGACAGATGTACTTAGAGTTGCCGCCTGCCAATACACACGTGCCGTCTGCGCTGTACTTCACCGACGTAAAGGCCTTGGTGCCTGCTACGTTGGCTGCAGTGCGCCGATCTGACATCTTGCGACCACCGGAAACGTCCCTTCGCGCATCAAGGCCATTTTCTTGTGCAGCATCGGACACGTTCCAGAACGTCAGTTGTCCATCGAGAGTTGTGACGGCTATTTGCTTCGAATCGGGGCGGAATGCTACAGATAGGATGTCGGCCATGAGTTGTAGCGGCTCGCTTGTTTGGGTGCGAGCAAAGATGTTCCAGACGCGAACAGTCCTGTCCCAACTTCCACTGACCAGCGTACCAGCATCAGGAGAAAATGCTAGGGATGATACAGGGCCTTCGTGACCAGATAGTCTGTCAAGCAACTGGCCGGTCTGAACCGACCAGATGTGAATGTCGAAAGAATCGATCGAGCCCGCGCATACGACCTCGCCGCTTGGGTCAACCGCTAGGGACGAAAAGGAAAGCCTCGATGGCGCTGTGAAAGTGCGGAAGTTGCGATACCGGTGGAGATCCCAAGCCCTGATGGAGCCATCAAGACTGGCTGTGAACAAGACGTTTCCCTTCTTCGCGAATTCGCAAGCCGTTACACCGCCCATATGTTCTGTGAATGTGACGACACAGAAACCGGAGTTGACTTCCCAGACTTTGATCTTTCCATCGTCTGCCGCTGTTATTATCCGTTGACCGTCTGGCGAGTAGGCGATTGTGTTCATCGAATCGAAGTGTCCCTGCTGCTTCAAAATATACGATTCCGACTGCCATTCCCACACAAGCAGCTGGCCGAGTTTCGACGCGCCAAACGCTAGCCATTCTCCGGTCTTGTTGATGGCAACGTAATCAATGTCGTTCTGCGAGATGCTGAGGCTGGAGATTTGCGCAAACTCTGGTAGCTCGTGGATAAAGAAGGCACCGTGCGAAAAGCCTGTGACGAGCAGTTTCGACTCGGGATGGAAGCTGGCGCATGTGACGTGCGCATTGTTCTGATGGAAAAAGTGACGTTCCTGGATGCCCCACTGTAGGTTCTCGTCGTCGTCTGGGTCGGCGTCGGCGGGCGCGTCGTAGCGTAGCATGTATTTCCAGACGAACAGCGCTCCGTCCTTGCTGACTGTATAGATGGTCTCTTGGTCCTTGGAGAACCATGCGCCGACTACTTCCTGCCTGTGTCCGCCCAGTGTTGTCTGCGCATGTCCTTCTGCTTGATCCACGCTCCATATCCGCGCCGTCATGTCCTTGGACGCGCTCAGGAAAAATCTCGAGTCGCTAGACCATTCTATGCTCTGGACTGAATTGTAGTGTCCTGTGTAGATCCGGTGGCGCACGAAGGGCGCAAACTCAAGGTCACCCTCCGCAACGTCTGGAGTGGATGGTGTGTGCCATACTTCAATCTGCCTTCCTATGCCTACTGCGAAATGCCGACCAGAAGGAGAGAAAGCGATCGAGGTGACTTCGCCGCGGAGAGAAAAGTGGTAGAGTACGATGCGACGAGGAACATTGGTGAGGACTGCGCGACCGTCTTCATCGACGGAGAGGAGGAGGTTTCCGCGGGGGTTGAGTGCAAGACGTGCGATGTTCTTCCGGTGCGCAAACGGAAGCGTGTATGATTTGGAGCTGACTAATGATCAGCGCATATCGAGAGAGGCAGTCGCGACTGTGAGCCTACCTCACAAGGTCGAAAACCGTGACGCGGTTACCAACCGGCGACAGCAGACATGTGCCATCGGGTGTGAAGAGAAGATTGCCTCTGCTGTAGACGGTGCCCAGCAGGTTGGAGAACTGTGGGTGTCAGACGCGAACATTTGCACGGCAGCACTCAACTCACCTGAAAGTCAGTCTTCATCTTCAAAGTATCGTGGCTGCGGTCTCGTCATGTCGTGGCGGGCATGATGGTCGCATCTTGAACTTTTTCGAAGCTCGGATCATCGCTGGACGCGCTAGTGGAGTAGTGTGCATTAGTCGCGGTTTCCCCGTTCAGGGTCAGTGCTTGCCGAATGGGCGACTGGCAGAAAGGGGACCCAAATTGTCTACCAACACCACACCTCCTCACCAGACCCCATATCGCACCTCGTTCAGCAACCTCACTGCTGACTTGCTTTTCATCCGCCACCTCCACGTATGTTTTCACGCCGCACTCCCCGGACATCAGGCTGCATATAGCTAACACCACGCAGACCCCATACACACCAGCGGTCAACCACACATCAGCACAATGGCCGAGTCCGCGTCCCCCATTGGCATTGCCAATGTACGTATACCATCTGCTAAGCCTATGTCTTCAATTCGTATACTAACATGCATTGTAGCTGCCCAACCAGAGGTATTATCAACACAGCGGACACGCAACTTCGGCCCTAACGTAGCACAGGCACAAGATTGTTGCAAAGCGCGGTGCTGCCTTCACCATAATGGTACGCACACCATCCCCATGACCAATCGACTTCAATCTAACTAGCTCAGGTTGCTGGCGAGTCTGGTCTCGGAAAGACGACCTTCATCAACACCCTCTTCTCCACCACCATCAAGAACTACGCCGACCACAAGCGACGACACCACAAGCAGATGGACAAGACCGTCGAGATTGAGATCACCAAGGCCGAGCTCGAGGAGAAGTTCTTCAAGGGTATGCAGCGCCATCCTGCCATTCGTTCTCTATGCTAACGCACCTAGTCCGTCTGACCGTTATCGACACCCCCGGTTTCGGTGACTACGTCAACAACCGCGACTCGTGGCAACCCATTATTGAGTTCCTCGACGACCAGCATGAGTCGTACATGCTTCAGGAGCAACAACCGCGCCGCTCCGATAAGATCGATCTCCGTGTCCACGCCTGCCTGTACTTCATCCGCCCCACTGGCCACACCCTGAAGCCCCTGGACATTGAGGTCATGAAGAAGCTGTGCACACGCGTCAACTTGATCCCGGTTGTAGCCAAGGCCGACACACTGAGCCCAACAGACCTGGCCAAGTTCAAGGCGAGGGTAAGTTGGTCCATCTACATGTCAACAGCAAATACTGACCGCTTTTAGGTGCGCCAAGTGATTGATGCTCAGGGCATCAAGATCTACACTCCCCCCCTCGAGGATGACGACGCCGCCGCCATGCAACACGCACGCGGTCTCATCGATGCCATGCCCTTCTCCGTCATCGGTTCCGAGAAGGATGTCCAGACCAACGACGGCCGCACCGTCAAGGGCCGCCAATACGCCTGGGGTGTTGCCGAAGTCGAGAACGAGGAGCACTGCGACTTCAAGAAGCTCCGCGCTATTCTCATCCGAACCCACATGCTCGACCTCATCCACACCACGGAGGAGAACCACTACGAGGCCTACCGCGCTGGCCAGATGGAGACAAGGAAGTTCGGCGAGGCGCGCCCAAGGAAGCTGGACAACCCCAAGTTCAAGGAGGAGGAAGAGGCGCTCCGCAAGCGCTTCACCGAGCAGGTCAAGGTTGAGGAGCAGCGCTTCAGGCAGTGGGAGCAGAAGCTTATTGCTGAGCGTGACCGCCTCAACAAGGACCTCGAGGCCAGCCACGCGGAGATCAAGCGTCTTGAGACGGAAGTGGACAGCCTCCAGGGAAGCATCAACCGCTCTCACGGCCGTCGCTAGACGCACCTTTTGGCGTTGGTGGTGTTGCACGTACAGAGATGGTGCAGCGATTCAGCATGGTCGCACTAATTCTCCACATTCTTCCTTCAAGATTCCCCTTTCTGTTTCCGTAACTTCGGTTCTCATATGTCTGTAATGTCGCGCCGCCGTGGGGATCACTGTAGGCGACGCGTATCTAGGCTTGAGCTAAAACAGCATGTCATAGCTTATAGTTGTATAACTTGGTATTAATCTATTATGAAGACCGCTGGTCGCTAAACTCGTTGTTGGGTATAGTGATGTTGAGATGGTAGACTTAAACCTGTAATCCGCCAAACACCCTATCCAGCTCCTCGCCTTCTTGTGCCTTGCGCTCTGCCTGCGGATCTAGATCCATCAGGTTCTGCTCCGGCACCTTTTCTTCCTTAGCCGACTCATTATTATCGCCAGGTCCCTCCGGCTTGATGATATGCACACCACTATCCAACCACCCAGGCGCAACCCTCCTCTTCTCCGCGAGATCCTCCTTCCGCCTCCTCTCCTCCCACTCCGCCAACGTCCTCCTCGCGTCCGCTTCTAGCTTAGCAAGGTGCTCTTGTAGCGCGACACACGACGTGAGTATCTGGTCTGGATGCGCTGATGTGCCCGTTGATGAGGTGACGTATGCTGGCTTCGAGGTGGTGGCGTTGGGGTTGGACGGGTCTTGTTGTTGCTGTTGTTGGGAGAGGATCGACGGAGGCAACGTCGACGGAAGGGTCACGTAGGAGTATGGCAGGGGGACGGATGTGGGGAGGGAGAGGAAGGGCGAGAGTGTTAGGGGGACTTGGGCGAGGAGGGGGTGGGGGTCTGTGGAAGTGGTGTTAGTGAGGTTCGCGCTTGTTGTGCTGGGTGGAGGGATGCGATGCGACGGGTAGCCACACTGCAGAGCGCGCATGTCTGAATGCGACGATGCCGAGGTCCTTGTTCCACTCTCTTTATGCTCTCAAGCTATACCCTGGAGTTGGAGCTCACAAATGGTCGCATGGTCTGGCTATGCGCGCGCATTGCGCTGGGTGTGCATTGTAGCGGGGAAGAGGAGCACTCACGTTCGTCGTGCATATTCGATATGGCTATACGCGTACGTCAGGGTCCGTCGATTTTGCCAAAGTAGCAGTATCAGGGCGTATATTCGGTCTTGTCGAGTACGGTGGGGCGTAACTTTGCGGGAACGGTGTTGCAGGGCTTGGGGTTGTGGAGGCACGAGGTGTTGGTGGGGAAGCTCCAGGTTGAGTGGAGCTGCTGATGCAGGTACGGAGTTCCAAGGTTCCACGGTTGGAAGCTGCGGTCACGCGTTATGCATGTGAGATAGATGCGGGCAGATTGTTTGTGGGGCGCATACACGAAGACAGTCTTGGGGAACGGTTTATCTTGCGTGTTGATGGGGAAGTCATTTCTTGTGGCATTATGGATGGATCTTGAGTGTAGCGAAAGTGTATCTATATTTCCACTACCCTTTCACTAGATTGCATTTGGGTTGGATCTTGTATGTACTTGACGCAACAAGAAGAAGAGAAGTTTATGTATGTGCGCGTGAATGTCCCCCATGTTTGCCTACCTGATCTTGGCAGAGCAAGTGAATGGTCTCGGACCGGGAATTGTGTAGCTGGTCGGGATCGGCCAGTACAGTTGAAACTTAATCCCCGGGTCAGTCGCTTTGTATGCACCTGGAAAGCTGACAGTCGCCGGACTGGCACTGCCACCTCCTGTCACATTGATTTGAGCACACTCCATATAGAGTTGAGCACCGGGGTAGTTTGAGGCGGCATGGAGAGCAATGAGCTCTGCGCGAAGGAGGTACCTGGAAAGACCCGTGTCAGTCGACCATATAGATTTGGCAAGAACTTGGAGATGACTTACTGTCCACTGGGAATGCATGACGGCAGTACAAAGTCTACCAGGCCCTTGTTGTTATACAGTCTTGTAACGGCCCACTCGCCATTGGCATCCATACCATCCTCGTAGATCTTAAACCACTTGAGTCCCGTCACTTTGGTAGACAAGGCATCATCGACTCTGGCAAGGTAGACCATGATGGGTCCTAGATGACCGGGATCAATTGGATCTGACTTGTCCGTCTCGGGCTTGGAATCGAGCGTGTGGTGCCACTCGGCAGTGAGCTTGTCTCCAGCTTTGACCTGACAAGGAGTAAGCCGAAGCCATGTGGCGTTATAGCTTATTGCGCAACCAGCGTACATTGATGATGTCTTTGGGAAGAGGCGTTCTGTAGGGGTTTATGCTGAATGCGGGTCAATCTAGCGCTTGGTTCCACGCTTTGTAATGCTTTACCCGCCATTACAGATCACATCGTTTGATGTAACGTCCGTTATTGGTCTGGAAACGTAAGTGAGTTGGAGTTCAAAAGGCGATTGCGGGGTGCATTACCCGTCGTAGGTCTGTGTCGTGCTGTTAGCAGGGGAGCAACATGGGAATCGTGAACATGCTCACCGGCACTCGAATCCCCTTAGTGTGTCCTTGCGCCACGCCATTGACGTGTAGCTGGGTGAAAATTGTGTGTGCCGAAGCGCTGGCCAGTAAAGCATAAGTAACCGCATAAGCCTTCATCATGTAGGCTACTACGTTAGATCCTGAATGTCCTCATCAACGCGTCGATGAATCTTCCTATATGCCATTGTTGTGCACCGTTCTCAAGCTGTCCAAATGGAACACGGCATTATTGTTCAAATCTGGTCGACCTTCCAGTTCGGCACGCATGCGACTCGCGGTAGACTCGCGTGACCAGAGACACTTTAATCCCAATCTATTTCGCCCGCCGTAACGCACTTTTGAAAATATACTGTGTATGCACGAGACACGTGCTTCGTGGATTCTTCAGAGCATAGAACCCTCGGCATATTCCAAATAGGCAACGAGCACCAATGCGGTCGTGACTGCGCGTTCTTTGAACCGGCGGTTGGGTGGAAAAACCGCAGTATTAATTACAGGGAGGAGGATATGACCGAGACATGCCGCGACACCGTGGCGCGGCTCTTGGAATGTGGGAAGCGAGAGGAGGAATGCGTAATATAATAGATTGTGTGTTACTGGTCTGGTCAAGTGTTTCAATCAATGAAACGTGCGCGTCTTGTCGGTCAGCGAGAAGGCTTGGAAGCCGTCCTTCATCTTGGGGCAGCCTTGCGGAATATGCGGGAAGAAGCCGGTACCGAGAAGGCTGTGGCGGTTGCACGAGGTCAAGGGCACAGACTTGATAATCCTTCCGACGAAGCTGGTGGTGCAGATGGTGCATTTGAAGAGGCTGATGCGAGGCGAAAGCGCGAAAGTGACGGTCCATCCCACCAGCCACTAAACGATTGTGGGGAAGTCTGGGCCCGAACGGGCAAGGGGCACATGGCTAACGGCGATGCTAAGTCGCAGTCCCGGCTTCTGTCAATCTACATCAATCAATCCACCCATGCCGCCGTAGTTTCGACATATTAACGACTAACCTTGAATCTCGGCCAGATCACCTACGTTTTGAAACAGCCAATGACGATGTCGCCCACGGTAATCACGCTCCTCGCTTGGCCCATCCTAGCCAGCGCGCGTCTTCCGTACCTGGTTCAATGCGCACTTCTGCCGCCTCCAGAAGGAAGTTCCCCAGGTAGTGGCTTGGCCACGGGTGTCAACCCCATACACGGCGGCGTAGTCTAGCATAATGTTGATATGTATATAACACGTCCGCACCCTGGCATAGCGGTAGAGGCCACAGCTACAACTTGTGCTTGTCAATTCATCTCATCTTCGACGTGCTGGTAACAAGTCTCCAAGATGAAGACCTCTTCTTTCGTTCGAGCGGCTTCGCTGCTATCCTCTCTTTTCGCCCCTCTCGCTCTTGCGCAGGAAACATTCACCCACGAAGGCACCGGTATTGAGTTCTGGCGCCAGACAGTCAGTGACGCCCAGACTGCAGGTGGTTTCGAGTGGGGTTGGGTACTGCCTGGAGAACCTACTGGAGCCAACGACGAGTACATTGGTTACATTGTAAGTTATAGCAAGTCTGCGTCGATGCTGCAGCCGCTAATGTTCCCCAGAAAGGTTCGCTCGAAGCAAACAGGCAGGGATGGTCCGGTGTCAGCCATGCTGGTGGCATGCCAAACTCTCTTCTCCTCGTTGCATGGCCGGAAGAAGATGCCGTCAAGACCAAGTTTGTCTGGGCAGGTGGCTATGTCGCTCCTGAGGACTACACTGGCAACGCGACTTTGACTCAAATCTTCCACTCCGTCACCGACACACACTTCGAGATCGTCTACCGATGCGAGCACTGCTGGGTCTGGAACCAGGGCGGTGCTGAGGGCTCTCAGCTTCCCACTACTGAGGTCAACGTTATCGGTTGGGCCCAGCATGACAAGATCTATGACGGTACCTGGGTTTTCCACAACAAGGGACAGTCTCAGTTCGGCGCTCCTACCGCGGACGCGAGGAACGCAAAGTACACCGACTACCTCAAGTTGGTAGGTGGCCAGCCTTCTGGTGCACCTACACCGACCAAATCTGGTCAGCCATCGGCTACGCCCACTCCAACAGCACCTGTCAAGTGCCAGGGATCGCCTGCTCCTTCAGGCTCCTTCGACTACATCGTCATTGGCGGTGGTGCTGGAGGTATTCCCGTAGCAGACAAGCTTTCTGAGTCTGGCAAGAGTGTTCTTATGCTCGAGAAGGGCCCGCCATCTCTCGCCCGTTTCGGCGGAAAGATGGGTCCTGATTGGGTTACCAGCAACAACCTGACCCGCTTCGACGTTCCCGGTCTTTGCAACCAGATCTGGGTTGACTCTGCTGGTGTTGCTTGCACCGACATTGACCAAATGGCTGGCTGTGTTCTTGGTGGAGGCGCTGCTGTCAACGCTGCGCTTTGGTGGAAGCCTGTTGATATTGACTTCGACTACCAGTTCCCTAACGGCTGGAAGTCAGCTGACGTCAAGGGCGCAATCGACCGTGTCTTCAAGCGCATCCCGGGTACCGACACTCCCTCCGTCGACGGAAAGCGCTACAAGCAGGAAGGCTTCGATGTCCTATCCGGTGCACTTGGTGCAGATGGCTGGAAGAGCGTCGTCGCGAACGACCAACAGAACCAGAAGAACCGCACATACTCTCACTCTCCCTTCATGTACGACAACGGTCAGAGGCAAGGTCCTCTTGGCACTTACATGGTCTCCGCCCTTGAGAGGAAGAACTTCAAGCTGTGGACCAACACCATGGCCCGCCGTATCGTTCGCACCGGTGATACTGCTACTGGCGTTGAGCTTGAAAGCGGTGTTGGCGGCACTGGCTACTGCGGTACTGTCAACCTGAACCCTGGAGGCCGTGTCATCGTTTCCGGTGGAGCTTTCGGATCCTCCAAGGTTCTCTTCCGCAGCGGCATTGGACCAAAAGACCAGTTGAGCATCGTCAAGAACAGTGCCCTCGACGGCTCGACCATGATCAACGAGTCTGACTGGATCAACCTTCCTGTCGGCCAGAACTTGAACGACCACGTCAACACCGACCTTGTTATCAAGCACCCCAACATCTCCTTCTACGACTTCTACAAGGCATGGGATGCTCCCATCGAGAGCGACAAGGATCTATACCTCTCCAAGCGCTCTGGTATCCTTGCTCAGTCTGCGCCCAACATTGGTCCCCTCGCTTGGGAAGTCATCAAGGGAAGTGATGGCATTGACCGATCGCTCCAATGGACTGCTCGTGTTGAAGGCCCCGGTGCCAACGACACCCACCACCTCACTATCAGCCAGTACCTCGGCCACGGCTCTACCTCGCGTGGTGCGCTCTCCATCAACGGTGCTCTCAACGTCTACGTCAGCAAGGCACCCTACCTACAGAACGAAGCCGACACCGGTGTAGTTGTTGCTGGTATCAAGAGTATGATGAAGGCTATCCAGAAGAACCCGATGATAGAGTTCCAGGTACCATCACCCAACATGACGGTTGAGGCATACGTTGCCAGCCTTCCCAAGACACCAGCTGCCCGTCGCGCCAACCACTGGATCGGAACCGCGAAGATTGGAACCGACAGCGGTCTTACTGGCGGAACAGCCGTCGTGGATCTGAACACTCAGGTGTACGGAACGAAGAACATCCACGTTGTCGACGCGTCTCTCTTCCCTGGGTAAGCTCACCCTCAATATCACACATGATCGTCGAACTAACATAGCCCAGTCACATCTTCACCAACCCTACATCTTACATTGTCGTGCTCGCAGAACATGCTGCTGCCAAGATCCTTGCCCTTGGTGCAAGCAGTGGAGGTGGTAAGCCTTCGTCGTCCGCTCCGTCATCCGCCAGTACCGCTAAGCCCTCATCTTCCAAGGCTCCGACTAGTTCGTCAGCTGCCCCTGTGAAGCCATCGTCAACACCAGGAAAGTCATCGGCTGCGCCGACCAAGACATCTGCAGCACCATCAGCTGTACCTACCAAGACGGCAAACGCCTGGGAACAGTAAGTGGACAAAGAACTTTCATGCATTGAACACATACTAACTTCGAATCAGATGCGGCGGTCAAGGCTACACTGGTCCGACAGCTTGTGTCAGTGGATACAAGTGCGCAGTGAACAACACATGGTTCTCTCAGTGCGTCCCTAAATAAGAGGCGCACATCCATCTCCTGCCCCGGTCTCGACATTCGATACATCTGGGGCATCTTCTTTGTACATACTTTAGCTTCAGTGAATATCAATCGCTCATTCTGCAAAATCGTGTCTAAAATGCCTCGCTTGACCTCGTGAGCTGATGACTCCCGCAGAATGTCTAGGAGCCGAGGTGGCAGATGCGTGACGAATGCGGAATAGCGCGCGTCTTATCGCGCCCCGCATTCATCGGCCTTTCATCCCAACTGACTGACCATCTCATCCCAACTTTCTTTTGCGCTTCCAACAACATTCTTTGCGCTTAGCATTCCTCAATCTTACGTGACTTGGGTGTTGTATACTTCTTGACTGCTTCGCACGTACATGATGCCATCCAACTGCCCAGCCACTTCTGCCAAGCGCGCCGATGACGCGTCGAAAAACGTGACGGAACTGCTCCATCAGCGGCTTCAAAGTAGCCCTAAAGATGACTGGGGACGATTGTTCGAATGCTGGGGCTATGATGATTGTGGTGACTGTCATCGAAGTAAAGGCCATTGCGGGTGGTGTGCGATTGTATGTTCATCCCTAGGAAACCGCGGACTATCACTAACTCACTTTAACAGTCCTCGACGTGCCTTCCCTTGCCTACGGACGCTTTATCAAAAGCTTTTCCTCTCCTTACGCCCATTCGCTACGACTCGATATGCGCTTTACCATCTGAGCGCTTTGAGCTGCGTACCTCGGGGTTGGGCTGTCAAGTGTCTACAATCACTTTCTTGACGTCCATCGTGACTATCTTCTGTACGCTTTTTGGCGTTCTGGTACTGTACAGTCTTGCAAAGTGTATCAAGTGGGTTGGCTTTGGGGCAAAGGCAAGTAGAGGCGGCTACGCGCTCTATGAGGATGGAACGGAAGAGGTATGGGTGAGAAGAGGCGAAAGTTGGGGGAAGTGGTGGCGAAGAGTAAATGGCGAGCAAAAAGAATTCGAGGTTGAAGAGGTAGATGGAGGGACGCATAAGAGAGGCTTCTTCTGGTGGAATACGAGGGATGCAGAGAGAAGGCCGTTGCTTGAGTGATGGGCTATAAAGCTGATTATTTGGCCTACGTTGAACGACATTGATATACTGGTGGCTCATTCATTTCTGCACTTCGGCTATCTGCGTCATCATCGCCTGCTCGACACTCACTCGCCCCTCACCTCCGCGTCTGCCTTCCCAAATACGTCATTGTTCAGAAACGTCCGAGATTTCACTTCCAGTCCTCGAGCGATATCGCCTGCTCTCACCAAGTCCACGTCCAAGCTCTCACGCACTAAGGCCATATAAACAAGCCCTCCTCCGACCAGCTCTTTTCCTCCACCGTACACCCCGATAACACTGCGGTACCTTACCTCCAAGCAACTTTTATTCAATTCACAACTACGAAGATTCTACAGAAAGCTACTCCACTAGACATGTACCGGATGCGCCAACGCGGACGTTTCGGTCGAGCCAATCCGATGAGGATGCCCGGCTCCTTCAGTGACAGCGATAGCGGCGATCAATTCAGTCCCGCTGCTCACACCCCGCCAAGCTCTGACGAGTACCCATCGCCTTCCAGCAGGATGTCTCCCAAGGTCAACACCGCTGGTCTTCGACCACTCCAGGAAATCGCTGAAGAGGCTAACATGTGTGCGGCGTCCCAGCTTGCATTCGATAACGACGATGAGGCCTTGGCCCAACTCGAAGCTCGGATCGAAGAACTCAACGCTGAGTATGAGCAAGCTCTGGGTGGCCAACCTGGTAAGAACAAGGAACACGGTCCTGCGGACGCCTTCAGTAACGAGCGCGAAGAACACGACGAGCAAGATCCCGCTGGACACGGCGCACACGGCCGCAACGGACCCGCCGGACTCCGAGGGCTGGTTAACGCCCACGAGATGGCAGTGAAGAAGTCTATTGACAGTGCCCGTGACATGATCGGGGCGTTCCCCTCAGCCGTCGATCTTTTCCCCGTGTACAACAACATGCGCTCCGCGGTTCAGCAACCCAACCAAGTCGCAGGAGGTATGATAGATCAGACTCAAAGGCCCTACGGGAACTATCGACGTCAGGTTGAGACACATTCACTATCGCATACCGACACTGCTCCTCCTCGCTCGGCGGAAGTCAAGGCTTCTCCTTCTGCTACACGCGCTGATGATCAGGGTGAAGAGCAGTCCGTGAAGAAGAAGTGGAGTACTGTTAAGGTCAAGTCTGGAGATGATGATGGCAATAGCCCAACTGCAGACCGACCAAACCTCCATTCGACATTTTTCGACACTTTTGTCTGGCCGGCTGAGCTGTCCACGACATTGTCCCATGCTCGCGCTGCAACGAGGGCATCTAGGTCACCGCTTCCTGAGCTCAGGACTTTCGAGGACGTCCACCGCCAGATTCGCGAGCAGGATGTCGAAACTATCCTGGACGCCGACAACATGGCTACTCTACATTGGGTTAAACGCGAACTCGCTCCTGTTTCTTCCTCGAGCGGCCCTGCAACCCCAAAGCCCGAGCCCGCTACTTCGCTTCTAGACCGCATGCACCTAAAGCAGAACGCGCCTAGCCAGTCATCGCTAGAGGCCCGTTGCGGTGTCCACACGGGTCAAGATCACAACCTCGACTGTATTACCCTCAAGGAAGGTATCTCACCCATCGATCTTCTGAATCTTCTAGATAACTCCGACATTTCCGATATCGAGTTCGAGATCGAAGACGACTGTGCCGAGGTCAAGAACGGCGACGCGACTGCCGGGACTACTACTTTGGAGCCGCGTAAATTCGTTCCGACTGTTACGGAAGACAAGAAGCAGGCTCGCGTATCAGTACAAGGTCTCAACTATGCTCTCAGTATAGATGGAGAAGAGTACAGCGACTCTGACGCCGGTTCGATTCCCGACCTCCTCTCTATGGACAAGGGTCTGCCAGAGAAGTCTTCTGATGTCGAAACCGCTACCGGCTCTGCTTCTGCTGACAGCACCCCCGCACCGGACGACGCTATGGTGGACGAGTTCCTGGACTTTACTTCCAACGCCTTCTCGCGCGATGAAGTCTTCGAAATCCTTCGTATGTGTGGCGCGAATCTGGTTGTTGCTGTCTCCATGTACCGCAACGCCCGCAGTCTTGATCATATCCGACAGATGCTGAGGGCTTGGCTTGCGCCGCTTGAGAACGCTGGTTTGGGAGAAATGGATCGCCAGTCCATTCAAGACGGCGTAATGAACCCCTTAATGGTCAGTGATCCCTCACAAGCCTTCTCACCTGTTCACAACGATGAGCCTACTGGAACAACGATGGGTGTGCGAGATGCCGACCGTTTCAAGGTACTCCGACCTTTGAAGGACATCGCAAGCTCCACAGAGGAAGACGAGTCCAAGAAGGACCAGGACAAGGCCAAGAACAAGACGGGCGCTGTTCGTGCAGCCCCCTCTGCGATTAGTGACGGACATGGCGGTTCAGGTGGGCCAAGGGATCCCCTGTGGGCTCCGTCAAGTTGGGAGTACGAGTGTAATGACCTTGCTTGGTTGATAAACCCCAACTCCGCGCCTGGTAATCCGGGGTCTACTGGACCAGGCCCACAGAGCTCAGGAGACGACGCATGGGCTTCCATTGGCAACCTTAAAGACTCCAACAACGCTCCCGAACCAGAAGCTCCTGTATCTACTGACTATACCGTCACCTTTTGGGCCACCGTCGAGTCTGGCGACAAGACTGTCCACATTCCCATCAATAGCAGCGACGTCTCCGGTCCCGAGAAGAACATCATCGAGAGCAGCACTGGTATGAAGAAGATCTGGAAATGGGCTCAAGAGAAAGGTCTCAGCGACAAGATCAGCCTTCAAGACGCTTTCGATCTCGCCAAGGACATGCACTGCAAGGACGAAACCGACCAGCCAGTCATTAAGGAGCCTGAGCGCGCCACAGAGGCCCCACGTGCTACCTGCCGCAGTCGTAGCCGCAGCCGCAGCCCATATCCACGATGGGATGCTCCCGCTGTAGGTCTCCTCGGTGTGAACTATGTTTACCCCAACCCCCCGCGTGTTCACCCGATGACCTCTCCGATGAGTCCGGTCGATCCGGCCCACCAGGACGTGTGTGATGAGGGCGACGGGTGGTCTTGTTATTAGCCTTTTTGGCTTGAAGTCTTTTAGGGTGTGGAGCCTTCTATCTCATGTTTTACGGATTTAAGAGTGATTCTCCGCTCGATGGCCTTGCTTTGTTTGTTCTGGATTATGGGATTGCGCATATGAACAAGATCACGGTACAAGGTCATTGGCTTACAAGGCTAAAGGATGTTTGCGAAAGGCGGGTTTTCTGTCAGAATGGGTAGTACAGATAACTGCACTGCTTAGTGCTATGAACGTGGAGAATATTTGTAACTTTGTCTCTCACTGTATAGTGATCTTACTAACCCCAGCATTGATCTCTTAGGCATGAAAGATAAACTCGACACTAATATCCGCTCGCACCATAATCTTGGCCTAAACAGACTGCGAATTAGCTTGGGATGAACGTGTGGTGGATGAAGAGTAGTGCACGATGCCGACAAGCCCCACACTCTATTCGCATATTAACGTCCATGCAGGTCCATCCGCAACGCACCCATGCTCGAGCATGGTAGTCCAGATTATTTCCAACGGCAGTTCACACAGTCTAAAAGCTATTGTAATCTTTCATAAAGCTGAGAAAGATGCGAGGAACAACACCATTACCATCAATTGACTCTACATTGCCGCTCAATTGCAAGCGTCATCATCCCTCACTATGCGCCCTTCAACCGTTCTCAGCGCCACAGCGCTTCTTCCCTTCGCAATGAGCGCCTGCGAACGCGAATTCCTCGCGGCCTTCACATCACTCTACCTCTCCGCGCAAACCATCGGCAACTCCACGCTCCTTACAAACTACATGCTCCAAAACTTCACCTACACCGAGAACTTCAAACCCGCAAATCTCTCCGCCGCAACATCCATCATCAACACGCCCCTCAACAGCACCAACTCGCGCGTCTTCCTAGACCCGTATCTCTGCAGCGCATTCACCGAGATCATCGTGGCAGAGTCAAGCCACCCGTATGTTCTCGGCGTGCGCGTAGAGGGTAACGGCAAGTTTGTGACCAAGATGGAGACGCTGGTTAGTGATGAGGGAGATTGGCTGTTCAATGCTACGGGCACGGCGTACTGGAATGCGATGCAAGATTGGTCGCCTATTCCGCTTGCGGATCAGGATACCCGCGAGGTTATCAAGGCGGCCGGCGATGCGTACTTCGACCGTTTTGGCAACGTTAATGTTACTATCCCGTTTGGTACACCTTGTGCCAGGCTCGAGGGAGGTGCGTATACAGATACGAGTATGACGAATGGTGAGACCTGTTCTCTGGGCCTGCCGAGCACCGTGTATGTACAGGATCGCCGGTATGTGGTCGATGTCAAGATGGGGAGTGTGAATATCTATGTGGGGTTTCCGGGGTTGGACAGAGCCAGCGAGATACCGGCGCCGGATAGTCATACTTTCCGTGTCGAAAAGGGGAAGATTCGGTATGTGCATACTATCTCGACTTGCGAGAATTTCGGGTGTGGATTGAATGGGACATATGTACCGATTGGCGGTGGGAAGAAGACGGCGAGAGGTATCGCTGCTCCAAGGCTTCGAAAGACAAGACGCGCGTTATAGGAAGATGGTGAAACTGGTAAAATTCGCTTCGTTATAGCATGCATCGCTTAGTTTGCTATTCTATACTCGTACCTTCAGGTTCAATCCTGTGATACTCCACCGTCCCACAACCAGTATACAGCTTCCTAGCAACACTGCAGTTCCCGCGAAGATCTGCGCGCTAAGATAACCTCCACCATTACTTTGTATCAGCGCTCCTGCGATTGGTGGCCCGATGAAAGTACCCAGCCCTACTATGGCAAGGCCCTGGCCATTTCTCGTACCTACTTTACTCATATCCTTTGTCAGCGTAGTCATTACAGCCGGGAAGATTCCTTGAAATCCTGAGACAAAGAAGCCATAGCACACTGCCCAAGCGTAAAGGCTAGGCTCGCTGTTGACTAGAGGCCAGAAGTAAAGTACAAAAGCGGAGACGAAGCAAAAGGGTATTAGGATATTGTACGGCCCAGTATACTTGTCGGCGAAATAGGATGGTACGATACGACCAAGGACACCGACACCATTCAGTACTAGGAGAATGTTGATGGAGGTTGCGTATGGTAGGCCAAGGATGTCGATCGCGAATGACGAGATATAGTAGAAGGCGAAGTACTGCCCAAGGGCAATGAGGAAAACTCCCATCAAGAATACACTATACGGCATCTCTCTGAACGCGCTGAGTTCGAGCACTGGGCCAGACTTCCTTGGAGGTAATCGTGGTTTCAACAGCGAGCTGTAACAAATTCCCACGGCCAGCATCATAAAAGCCATGACCCTGACGGTCCATGGGAAACCGATTCGGGGAACTAGCTGTCGTGCGATCGTTGGATAGACGAGACCACCTGTCGCACTGCCGCTGGCCATGATTGCGAGTGCCACGCTCCGATTCTTCGCAAAGTATGTACTGACAAGTCCCAGAACGGGCGCAAACTGCATCCCATTCCCGACTCCATTCATTACACCCTGCGCAAGGAAGATCTGCCAGTACTTCGTACATAGACTCGTCATGAACATGCCGAGGCAGGAAACGAGCATGCCAGGTATCACGGACCAGTAGAAGTATCCCGCATCGAAAAGACGACCGGTCAACATGCCCAGCGAAAAGTGACCCAGCATCTGGAAGCTTCCGATCCAAGATACAGCCGATGGTTCGAGACCCAGGTCGAGCGTGTAGTACTGTTGGAAGACGCCGAATGTCGCAATCATCCCCCACGTGTTGAAGATAACGAAGTGGCCCATGAACGCCTGCACCCAAGCTTTTGTGCCGCCGTCCGGCGGTGGTCCAGGGTCGATGACGGATGCATTCGAACGAGCGGTAATCGTCTTAGCCAGTCCGATTACCGACTTCTTGGTACGAGACGTATGCGAGGCGTGTGTTGGAATTCTTTCGATCTCCTCCTCTTCGTGCTGGGATGCTGGTCTTGATGGAACCCTTATTGAGGCGTACGACGCGTCATGATGGCGTTCGTGATGGCGTTCGGTGTGCGCTTGTCCGAACTCCGATATCGTGGCTTTCTCGACATCGCGGTTGGCACTCATCTCAATGGACTGAAAAGGATGTTGCCAGTTGCCTGGATTGATAACGTAGACAGAAGACTACAGCTTCAAAGAAGTGGTGTGGCTGGTGTGTGGGTATACGAAAGAAGCGCATCCTTCGGTGTTTTATCCGACGGTCAACCATCTTTTCGACTCATCGTCCCCACTCTCCGGCCGCGGAGGCTAACTGAGAACCGATGCCATCTTGAGCTTGGTTGTTGGATCTGTATGCATGCTGCACGCAGGATGTCCAATTGCGAAGCTTTGCCTGGAGATATGGGGAAAGCTTGTGGCTGCTTCCCCAAAATTTCGGCAATAACACCGCGTTGGTATACTTCACGCTAACCTAACTGGGTACGCGTCTCGTCGATCTTCAAAGCGCGCCCTACGGCTCCATCAACATTGCCACACGATACCACAACCTACAGTGGATGGCGTGATGTTGGCATCGCTATATTTTTCGTACATAAGCAGGAATACCTAGGTAATTAACGGGAATAGAATGTTGCATACCAAGTTGAGACTGCGCATCAGTCTGGAACGTCACACCGCTGTTCTCGATAGCATCTTCAGAGGACACCGTTGAACTCATGGTAGGCGACGCGTCGAGACGTTTCTTGTACAGGCGTTGCTCGGGATCCTCGCACATCTATTGCGCGATGTTGCGCATCTCGTTGAAGATGGGAAGGCTCTGGCGAGCATAATGAGCGGAGACTTCGTATGGCTTCGATAAACTACTGCCAGCATCATGTATGCACTTGGCTACACCTGGCAAGAGACACCAGTAGTGTGATTGCGACATGCTAATTTGTGTTAAATTCCCAGTCAGATGAGTGATGTGAGGATATCTTAGGACATGCGAGCGTAAGAGGATGGAGCGCCGACGCCTTCTCGCTTGCAAGTGGTAGGACAGTCGAGCCAGGTCTACCGTAGCGGGTGGACGAGGTGACGAGAGAAAGAAAGGACCATATACGCGTAGGAGGCGATTTCTACAGGTCGATACACAGTAGATTTCTGACTAGCAAAGTCAGTAAGTAATTAGGTGACGTTATTTACAGAATATGGTATGCAAGAAGATTGACGTCCGAGTGTGACATCTACTCCCCAAGAGAGGCATATGTATTCAACATGGGTTGCTTGGACCACCGTCGATCAGACATGGCCTCGTCCAAATCCGCCTCATCAGCACTCCTCTTCTTATCTGAAGGTGGCGGCGTAAACGGAGAAAGCTCTTTCCGATTCTTCGATACGAAGTACACGACATCCTTCAGCGTTGGTTTGCCCTCTTTCCTACTTCCCAGCCACTTGATGTTGACCAACGGTAGCCCTCTACTCGAGAACAAGGCCGGCAGTTCCTTCGTCAATGATCTTATCTGCGTCTCGTTGATGGTCTCATGCTTCAGTGCAAACCCCAGATGCAGAAAGCGTGCGTGGGACGATATACTAGGGCTTTGCGTCGGACGCTCTTTCTTTGGCTTGAGCTTCCTGAACTCAATGTGTCGGCTACTGCCCCCGATTCGCCGCCATACTCTTGGAGGTGAGTCAAAACGTTCCTTTGCCATGCACTCGACAAGCTCGTGGGTGTCAAAGTAACTGCCATAGGTACCGGCACTTTTCACGGCTAATTCCTTCAGATGTCTAATGAGGCAGCGAGTGAAAGAGTTCTCGCCGGGCTCAGGGGTGGGTGCACCGATACCTGAGGCGGCTATCATCTCGAATGTTCGACCGTGCTCGGGGACGTTGCGCATAAGGTCGCCGGCGAAGCAGCAGTCCATGATAGTGAGGACGTTGGCTTTTACTTTCTCGATTAGTGTCCTCTCAGCGTGGTTCCAGACTGCTCGAAGGTCAATTTTTACATCGTCGGTCCTGGTATTGCTGTTAGCTAGACTCCGTATCCAGGTGGATTTTGCTTTGGGATACGTACGGTGAGAACTCGAGGACCTTGTGAGCCTGGTCGTAAACACCATGACCAGCGTAGTATACTACAAGCAGATTGTTTGGGTCATCGTTTTCGTACACCCAGTTTAGTACTCCCCTCTCAAGCTGGAGTTGCGGCCTCTCCTCCTCTAGTTGTAGCTCGGTCACTTCGTAATTGAAGATTCTTCTGAAGACATTCGTCAGGTCGTCGACCTAGTGAGTGTAAAGTTAGTATTGCAATGCCGAGATGATCAGACGATAGACTATTTCCATACCTCTTGCCGCACGCTCAGCTGATCTATCGCGTCTTGCCATTTGATCATCAAAACATGTACATTGCGGTATCCATCTGGCAGATCCAGATGCTTTGCGATTGACTTGTCCCAGCATTGTTGGAGTTTCGCTTCATGCTGATCATCTCGAGAAGAGCGAATTTCTCCAGGGTTGAGGCTCAACGGCGAAGGAAGGGAGCTAGTGTCGTTCACCGATGATCTAGGTGACAGTGGGTTGGGTATATCGCAACGACTTGGCGGTGCCATGATGCGAGAATAACTGGAGGTGCGAATGGTGATCAGGATTGACTCCTGTTGACGAACGTGCTACATGTTCGCATATCTAGCCTTGTCATACACATTGTGGGGGCCGCGAACCTGAGGCTGTGCTTGGTCATGGCCCCATCATGCCAGTCAGCCACTGAATATATTAATTAGCCAGCATGCAGATAATACTAGCCACACGATCGCATGGAGAGTCCTCCACGCTCCAAAAGGCTAATGCTTCTCGGACTCCGCCTCATAGAACGCCTAGTGTTATGCGATTATTGGCGGGGTAAGGGTAGGCGAACGATCAGTAACGATAGGCAAACTGCTGCCTGCGAAAAAAGCAACGATGGCTCACCGGCACGCTGCACCTCGCCCACTATTGCGGCAGTGAGATATCTTCAGCTGAAGATGGAGAGGGCGTTAAAAGCCTCGACTCAGCCTGATATGAAAGGCTGACAACGAGGCCCATTTCCGACTCTTACACGGTTCTTACTCGCAGTCATGACCGACGAAGGACGACAAACAACGCCAGAGGAGCAGATCGATAACCAACAGCAGGTATGGCCTTATCTATCAGTATGTTGTGTGTTGCGCACTAACTATAGGCAGACGGAAAAGGTTGCGAGGGATCGTGCAGCGACATTGAAAGGGTTGGGGGCTGAAGTAAGCGTCATGCACGCCCCTGTCGAGTAAGCCTAAATGCTGATTGGTCGCAGACTGTCGCAAAATACTCTCCCGGAGAACACGTTCAGATTACAGAAGTCATCGACAACAAGCAAAAGAAGAAGAAGCTTTATATAGCGTTTAGCCAGAAGATATCGAAGTCGAAGACGGAGTATCAACTGACTGAGACGAAAGGCGATACCACAAAGCTCTACATGGACAAAAAGTGGTTTCCTGAGGTTAAAATCCACCCAGTTTGAGACACCTGGACCAATCAATGTAATGAGGCTTGACCGGTGAAGAAGCACATCACTATTTAGTTTCCAGCTGGGAATGACAACTGATTTCGTCTGTTAAGGACATTTCTCATGTCTTCCATCATCGGGTAATATATCCATGTTTCAATCCCTTCCATCATGACTTCTCCCTCAGCATCACCGAGTGAGAAGGAGTTCTCCAGCCCATGTACACGGTACTCTAATGCATCTTCATCATCCACTTTTCGTTCCAGCACAACTCTAAACTCGCTGCGACATGTAGCAAACAGCTTCGGCCTGTTGCTACCAAGAAAAAAGCCAGCCGATGTAGAACAGCAGGCCAAGCCTGAGCCTGCCATTGGCGAGGACGAAGATGATGAAGACGATGATGGCCCTATCTTCTCACCCGGTGGATCAGGGCCGTATCCGACCAAAGTACGAACACTCGAAAAATGTCCGAACGGCTACGCACGACTCGCAGCCTACAATGCAAGTGAACAAAACTTCATGCTCTACCGCGGCTTCAGCAACGTCCACGCACGCCTCCTTCTAAACCTCCAAGCTAGCATCCAGAAGCTCGAAACCGAGCTAGACGACATTGACCGCTTCCACGACACTCTTCCCGAGGCCTCCAAGAAGCGCCTGCGATCCTGGGATCTCGACATCGCAGCCTGCAGACAAGAGAAAGAAGAAGCAAAAGAAGACGGCGACGAAGACGAAGCCCGAACGCGAGAAGACATTCTAGAGGAACTGAGAATCAAAGTGAACCAGTACGACGAGTTACTCATCAAAGCAAGAGAGCTCGTCTCTTTCCAACGACCAACCGAACGTGATTACCGAAGCGTGAGGAACTGGTTCCACAATATTGCGCCCCTCGTAGACGAGGAGCAAGATTACATACTCTGGAAAGAGGATATCGTGACGCTCAGACATGGGAGGGAGTGGGCGGGTTTCGACGGTATGGTCGAAGCGATGTTGCACAAGATGGATGGCCCACTTGTCCAAGTGAGTATTCTGCATTTCTCAGGTCTCCGGGCTTTACTTACAACCCGTAGTGGCTCTTCCGGACCGAGGATCAGAGGCGTAAATCCACGGATGAGAGGAATTACTACTTTGCTCCTTCGAGGGTGTCGACGCTGGTCAATCTCTTCATTACCATTGCGCTTTTCTTGCTACTGGTAGCTCCGGTGTTGGCGATGTATCGTCTCTCGACTATCAAGACAACGGAATGCGTGTTTGCGGCTATCGGTATTTTGATGGTTTTCACGCTGCTGTTTGCTGCAGCTATGTCATTACTCACGAAGGCGAAGAGGCATGAGTTGTTTGCCGCAGCCGCAGCCTATTGCGCCGTCTTAGTGGTTTTCGTTGGGTCTACTAACTTCAATTGACTTAGAAGATGCTAGAACTATGCTGAACATATCAAAGGCTCAACATGCCTCAAATGCTTCGTGAGCCCATGTTTTACAGGCCCCACGTGCTTCAAATACTATAAGTTCAAGCCTTTGTATGCTCCTCAAATAGCTTCTTCTGCTTCTCCCATTCCTTCTTGAGTTTCTTCACCCTTCCCTTAGCCACATCAGCACCATCCTTATCCTTCGTCGGCAGACCATCCTCATCCCACGCACTATACTCCTCAGTCCTGAACATATCCTTGGGGTTAATCTTCGCTTGCTCCGCAAGCCTAGCCTTCTTCTCCGCCTCCTCACGTTCGCGTTTGAGCTTAGCTTCAGCCTTTTGGCGAGCAATTTCCTCTTTCTGAGAGCGGGCGGCTTGCAGTTCGGCATCGACGGGGCGAACCATCGCAGGCGCGTTCTCGCGGTCTTCGAGGTAGATACCGAGATCCCAGAGGTGCGTGTCGCGGAGCTGGTCGCACAGGTCAAGGTAGTCCTTTGCTGGTGCTTGCTTCTTTGCGAGGTCTTGTAGAGACTGTTGGAAAGTGGAAAGGACTTCGGCATATGGGACTGCTTCTATGTCTTGTTGCTTCGCGGGGTTATGCTGGGCGATGATAGAGTCTAGGTTCTCGTTGAGGTCGCCGGCGATGGCATGCTGCCTTACTTGGTCGCGTTCGCGTGAAACAGCGTATACGTGCTCTTTGGCGGCCGAAGGAATGTCAATGCCAGCCCAGCCGATGCCACCGTCCCAGGGGTCAGCTGAACCGTCAAGGCCGAATATCCGGACCATTCGAGTGATGTAGCGAGCGACATCGAATGAGACATCGTCAGACAGTCCAGCCTTGTCGGCTGAGTTGTATTCGGTGATGAGGCTGGAAATCGCACGCATAGCGGTAGGTGTGTCGAACGAGTCGGCTAGCGCACTGATGTTACATTAGTAAAAGTTTCGAAGCCCATCTTCTCGTGTCTTACCTGTGCACTTTCTCCTTCGCAGATTCGAGAGACTGTTTTACCTTCTCGTCTTCAACACCAGTCGAACTGATGTTTGGATGTACTTCAAGATCCCGAACTTTGTAGAAGAAGTTGGTGACATAACTTTCCCATGATGAGCCCGACTTTCGCATGTCTGGTGTGATTTCGATGCCGTCATGCCAGCCTCCGAGAAGGAAGATGATGCGCAAACTCCGTGCATTCCAATCACCGCGACTCAGGGCTTCGCGGATTGTGGTGAAGTTCTTCAAGCTCTTTGACATCTTGGAACCGGATATAGACAGGTGACCCATGTGGAGGAAGTAGTTCACCCACTGCGCACCGCCTTCCTTTTGCCAGTAGGCTTCTGATTGTGCTAGTTCGTTGTCGTGATGCGGGAAGCAAAGATCGATACCTCCACTGTGTATGTCCATCTGTTCGCCTAGAACGGCCGAAGCCATGACGGAGCACTCGATATGCCAACCTGGCCGACCCGGACCCCATGGGCTCTTCCATGCTGGTTCTCCCGGTTTCGAAGACTTCCAGAGCGCGAAGTCGGAGTCGTTGCGCTTTTCCGAGGTCTTGACTGTCGACAGAGCACCTTCGCCATCTGCTTGCAGATTCGTGTCACCTCTGTTCCATGGCTCCAAGCGTGCGTAGTGGTTCCCCTTTCGCTTCTCGAAGCTCTCAATATCGAAGTAAACAGATCCATCCGATGTGCTGTATGCCATGCCGTTCTTGATAATCTTGTCCACAAAAGCTACGATATCATCACCGTACTCAGTCACGCGAGTGACGACATCCGGATCCAGGACGTTGAGTGCTCGCATGTCCTCGTTGAAGCGCGCTTCATACTTCTTGGTGAGTGTTGTGAAAACCGAGTGGTCGCTAGCATCAATAGTTGAGCCATACAAAGAGTCGAGGTAAGGTAACAGTACGTCCTCAGCGCCAGCATAGAAAACCTCCACGTCCTCAGGGGTCGACTTCGATGGAGCCAGCAACGACGTGACTGCTGTGCTGGCCGTCCGGAGATGCATCTTGATCTTCGCTTCCTTATCGCCTGGCGGGCCAACACCATCGACAGACTTGCCCTGGATGACATTGGCATACTTCTCTGCAGAATCGCTGTTGAAGCTACCGATGTTGACATCGTCACTGAGCAGAGGGAGGTTCTTCTTGACATATGCATCAAACGCTTTGATGGTAGTGTTGACAACTTCATCCGTTACAGTTGGGTTATCGGCCTTGAACTTGGCAAGAAGATATTGTTGGCGCCCGCGCAGGATGATCTTGTCGTCAACGTCTGTGATGTTCTGAACGAACTTCAGCCTGTAACCGTAGTAGTGGGCCAGAATTCTCCGCAGAATGTCATTTGTGACGTAGTTTCGAGCATGACCCAAGTGTGCATCGTCGTAGACGGTAGGACCGCAGCTGTACCACTTGACTTCTTTGCCTTCAGGGTCGATAGGTATGAAGTCATTTTTTGATCTCGTCAAAGAGTTCCAGACTTTCAATTTTGCTGGGCTTGAACCTTTGGGTTCCTTCCATGGAGGTTGGGTGCGCGCCGGTGTCGACATATTGGCTGCTAATCTTGGCGATATCTGACTCCGGTGTATCCAAGTGCAGTTGGTTTTCGAGAGTAGAAGTGGGGAAGGCGATTTGACGGTGCGGGACAAAGACCGGAAAGCAAGTACCATCAATGTGGCGGGAAACGGGACTGTAAGGAGTGACGAGAAACGGTGCTAGTAGTCAGGCCAGGTGTAAGTCCGGGAGCCGCTTACGGTGAGTCAGTAAGTGATGTTCTCGTCACGTTCTGTTGGTGGTCTCTGAGTGAGCAATAAGAATCCCTGTCAGTGAGGGCTTGGCGTTCCCCTCCAATAGCGTCTTCGAAAGCTCCCCGCTGAATATCTTTTTGTTCTCTCGAGCTCCGAGTCGCGATCGCATCATCTCCACATCTTTGGTCTGTCGCGACTTCTTACACTCATGGCGACGACACCTTCCCCGTTCCTTGACCCGGGGACTTGCGCGACAGCAGATAATCTCGGTATATTGCAATTGCGCCGCGATCAACTTATTCCTGCCGTCTTGAGACCCGAGGCCGATTCCGACTATCCTGAAGGCAAGGTTGAGAACACGCGATTCGGCTCTTTCCCACATAGCACACTCGTCGGTCAGCCTTGGGGTACGCAAATCCTTGCGTCACTCGTTGACACTGGATCGCGCGGAAAGAACAAGAAGCGCAAGAGAGACACAAAAGATGAAGGAGAGGGCACACCAGTTGCCGAGCCAGATACGGCGAAGAAGGACATCGTAAAGGCTGCCGCAGCGAGTAGTGGTTTTGCGCATCTCATACCACCTACGCCAGAGATGTGGACGATATCGTTACCGCACCGCACCCAAGTCGTATACACGCCCGATTACAGTTACATCTTGCAGAGACTGCGCGCAAGGCCGGGCGACCACATAATCGAGGCCGGCGCAGGCAGCGGAAGCTTTACGCACGCGTCGGTACGAGCCGTCTACAATGGCTACCCGGGGACACAAGCTACAGAGCCCGAGACAAACGGCGACGAGGAGAATGCAGTGGGCACATCCAAGAAGAGGAAGCGCAAGACACGGACTGGCGGCGTATACAGCTTTGAGTACCACCAACCGCGCGCAGAGCAGCTACAGCTCGAGATCAAGGATCATGGCCTGGATCCTCTAGTCACAGTGACACATCGCGACGTATACAACGACGGTTTCAATCTCGAAGATTCGACAGGCCCAGACGCCGACTGCGTATTCCTCGATCTGCCAGCACCATGGCACGCCCTCAAACACCTCACGCGCTCCCCTCCCTCCTCCGCCGCATTGAAGTCCGTCGCTTCAGACCCATCCACACCAGATGAACCCACAACCGACGCACCTGTGCCGACTACTTCCTCCTCGAAACCCTTCCGCAGCCCCCTCAACCCGCGCAACGCAGTCCGTATCTGCACATTCTCGCCCTGCATCGAACAAGTCACAAAGACCGTCTCCGCCCTCCGCACCCTCGGCTGGGTAGAAATAGACATGGTAGAGATCAACGCCAAGCGCCTCGATGTACGCCGTGAGCGCGTCGGTCTACAAGAAGAAGGTGTTCGCGGCGGCAATGCGCATCCCGCGAATGTGCAGGAAGCAGTACAAAGACTCAGGGACGTGGAAGGCCGTGCGGCAGTATTCCACAGCATGCAGCGCGAGAAGCAGGAAGAGGTCATGCGAAAGGCTGAGGCGCGGAAACGGGGGGAGAATGTGGGTGAGGGCGGGGAGGTGGGTAAGGGCAAGAAGAAGAAGATGGAAGGCGTGCCGCCGAGTAAGCATGACAGGCTTGCCCAGTCGAAGAAGGACATGGAGAGCCGGACACTGTTCAAAGAGGGCAGGCTGGTGCATAGGACTGAGCCGGAGCTCAAGACGCATACCTCATATCTTGTCTTCGCCGTACTACCACGGGAGTGGACCAAGGAAGACGAAGAGAAAGCGAAGAGGAAGTGGGGTTGAAATTGGAGCATACGATATCAATGGAAGATACCCAGATTACGAAAACTATTCTTCAAAACAGGAGCTCTGTTCCTCATTCCTAGAAAAGGACATCTGCCTAAAACTAACGAGAACACCTTCAACAGACACCCACTATCCCCACACAGCGTCCTTTGCCCTATGGCTACCACTCCTCCCCGGTGGTGTGCTGATACTGTGCGTCCAAGCCTCGTTTCCGTCGATGAACAGCCTGTAATTAACAAAGCTTTGTTCTCCATGCTCAGGTGTGGTAATCTCTACAGCACCAAACTTGCTGTTACCGTCGGGAAGGTACTTGAGGCATACATCCTCATCATCTGTCTCCTTGTATGTTCGGAAGGGTAGATAGAACATGCTCAGCGGGCTGGTGCTGAACTCATGTACCGTAGCGCTCGTAGGCCACTTGCCATCCTTCGGTGGTGGAAAAGAGGTAGCAGCGAATTCGTGACGGTCACCGCTGAGGACTACGACGCCGATATCGTGCGCGGAAGAGAGGTCCCATGCAGCTTCCAGGATACGTCTGCGCTCATATAGATGCCCGCCCCATGTGTCTTCCGACCCGAATTGCCAGTTCTTTGTGAAGGGTGTACCCGTGACAATGAACTTCCAGTGAACACCCGGAGGTGGTAGTTTATGTATCCAGTCCAGTAGATCGGAGAGCTGCTGGGCACCGAGCATAGTTTTCGTGGGGTCGGAAGCGTCTTTGCTCGCGGGGGTACGGTATCGTCGCGTGTCGAGGAGGAAGAACTCTGCTGGGCCTTGTGTGAAAGAGAAGTAAGTAACACCTTCGCGATGAGGAGGAGGGTTGGGCGCGGCATTGTAGTGCGTGAAGGCGTCGTAGGCTGGGACTGCTACACCCGTCATGTTGCTGTTCCAGTCATTGTGGATCTCATGGTCGTCAATAACGTGGATCCATGGCAGGTTCTCGCTCACTGCCGGCCACGATGGCGAAGAGTAGACCTGTCGGTACTCGCGCCTGTATGTCTCTACATCGCTGCCCTGGCGATGTGGTACGTCCACGTAGATGAAGTCGCCGAGGAACAGCATGAAGTATGGCTTGAGTTCGGGCAGCCAGCGCGCTAAGTGTTTCATGCCGGGGAATTCAAGGGGGTGCTGGAAGGGAGTGTACGGGACGCGAGGCTTGATGCAGCTTGAGTGCACGAAAGTGTATTTGTTGTCCTTGAGCATCGATATGCGACCTGGTTTCGGAGCGGTTGTGAAGGTGCCTGATATGTTTCCGCGTGAAGTCTCGACGATGTACTCGTAAGGCAGATCGGGTCGCAGGTGTTCGATGTTCATGACGGTGGTGAAGTCGGTCTCGTTCGTGAGCCAATACTCGGGTTGGCTGGCGCGATGGGTCTTGTGCATCCACGATCGTTCGGTTCCATCGATAGAGCGATAGAGGATCTTCACGTCAAAGGCGTACGGCTCTCGCACTAGGATCTTTGCGCTGTTTTCAGACACGTAGCCGACGCGTGCAAAGCTCGCATCGTGGCATTGATGGAGTAGCGGAGCGCGATAGACGACGTCTAAGGCCATGGCAATCAGAGCCATGTTGATGCCAAAGGTGATCCAGCTCCACATAGCTGATGAAGGACTCGGGAGCCCAGTGAGCAGTGTACGCAGCACCTTAGGCTCTCTTTCTTCATATTGAACAGTCTCCTGGACGTCAAGCTCTTTGAGTGGCCCATCATCGGCACCGTCAATGAGCTGTACTTCTTCGCCGGAGTCATCACCGCGTCCACCAACAGTTTCCTTCACGATGATATCAAGTTCATCGGATATGATCTTGTATTGCGCCGTGTCCTGGAAGCTGGTGAAGAAGGAGGGGATGTAGACGAGCGTGAGTGCGGTCGCAAGTGCAGGTACGATCGTTGTGGGTATCTGCAGAACGGTTAGCTACATGCATCAAGCAGTCATTCTCTCATGCATACCCATCGCAGAAAGATCCATATGCTCAGACGGAGTGTCAAAGAGCTAATGAGGGTAAGAACATCGCTCGCAGATGCCATGTTTGCTAGACCACAAGCATCACTCGGCAGAGGTTTGACGGGGAGAGATGCGCGTCTCGAAGCTTGTGAAAGTGGAGCCATCGTCACGCCAGACGCGAATTACCATGACGTCGTTGGCGCTAACGATGGAACAAGCTAGCGGTTCTGCGAACGCGTCTGTGACGTGTGACTTTGCCATTCACTCACACCACGAACTACAGTCATCTACGATACAAGACCCATCGCGTTCTCAAACTTATCATCACGTAGATATTATGGATAGGCTTAACAGCAAAGAAGGATGCGTCTTACCTATCTGAGGATGCATGCCCGGGCTGAGTTAAGCGACATGCATCTTCAGCTCCTCTACCCGTCAGGCTGAGATACTGGCACATCCTCTTTCCCCGCTTTCCAGATCTCCGCCTCCGGCATACAACATGCGTCTTATCAACACAAGGACTCGTAAATTCCAAGAGTTCATAGGCGCATCGATCCCCCCATACGCAATTCTATCGCACACGTGGGGCAATGAGGAGGTGTCGTATAGGGACTACGTTGAAACCCGTGATGCCTCCATGAGAGGCTACAGGAAGATTGTCAAGACGTGTGAGATCGCGAAAGAAGCTGGTATTACGCACTGTTGGATCGATACCTGCTGCATTGACAAAAGCAGTAGCGCTGAGCTTACGGAAGCGATCAATTCCATGTATCGATGGTACAAAGATGCAAAAGTCTGTTACGTCCATCTGGAGGACTTGGCTTCCGCTGCAGCGATAAGTGTCGATTTACCGAAATGCCGCTGGTACGCCCAATTACTCCATCTACGCTTTGCGTACTGAGCACACTAGGTTCACGCGTGGTTGGACTCTCCAAGAACTGATTGCTCCACGCGACATTCAATTTTATAATGCCAGATGGAACTACATCGGTCTAAAAACGGATCTTGTCGATAATTTGTCGACCATCACTGGCGTGGGCGTAGAGATCCTACTGCATAATCGGTCATTGGACCTGGTGTCAGTGGCAACAAGAATGTCTTGGGCGGCAAAGAGAAAGACCACGCGGACTGAAGATATAGCCTATTGCCTCCTTGGAATCTTCGGCGTCAATCTCCCTCTGCTGTACGGCGAGGCTGAAAAGGCTTTCCAGCGACTTCAAGAGGAAATCATTCGTTCGAAAGCCGATCTCAGTATATTTGCATGGCAATGCACGCGGCCTCCAGGGGTTGACAAATGGACGCTTACCGGTGTTCTCGCACATTCGCCAAAAGACTTTGTCAATGGTCACATCGTGCAACGTGTGTATGGGAGGGACGTTCGCGAGTTCTCCTTCACCAACGTCGGCATTAAAACGCGTTTGCGCAACCTTTGGGCTCAAGACTACGGCTGTGTTATGCAGTTGAACTGCTTTTCGATCGAATCGGGAAAGCACTTGGCGCTAAGACTGCGCAAAGTTGGTCCAGAAATGTACCTGAGAGAGGGGCCGTACGATCTTCTAGAGTATGCTACTGGTGCATTTCACGAGCGACGATCTGTTGAACGATACCTCCTTACTGCCATACCGGCAATACCAAGATATTCGGATCGATTGGATCCATCTGTAAGGTTCCATCCCGCAGAGAGGCTGTTAGGTTTCATGCGAGAATTTCCCGTGCGCGTCAAGCTACCACCGGAAGTTCATCTAGCCAGGATGTGGCCAGCTGACCGATGGGATGAAGAAGACCGGCTGTTCTTTGTCTCTGGCGATCCGCGTTGGGATTCGTTCCAGTTGAACCTGCGCTACGAACTCAATTACGATGCCAAGTCCTCCGACGGGACTGTCACTGAGGCTACCACAACCTTTATCTTTACTCTGTATGCGTTAGGATGGTCTCATATACAGGTGGATGCCGTAGATCGTGCTTCATTCGGCCTCGTAGACCGTCTAGAATATGGACCAACTGTGGACAAAATTCACCGATGGATTGTGGACGAGGAACCGACAACAGCTTCAATATCCATGTGGTTCGCGAAGGAAAACATGCCGAGACACCAATTTCTACGCTACGATATACCTCAGTCCCCTAGTAGCCTGGTAATAAAGATTGAAAGCACGCTGGATAACACTGTCACCTTGACAGCAGAGGAGATACCTACTATCAATGCGCCAGAGTGCGTCACACAACACTGGCCTGAGTTCAGGGACTACTAGATTAATGTCACGAATTGCTGATATGTGTACTACACAAGTCAGATCTCTCTTATCGTAGTCATTCCCAAATCTACATCTTCTACCAAGTGTCCATACATGATAGGCGATGCATCCTGTCCAACAAATTCCGCATCCTCAGGTGTCACATCATCGCCAAGAGAACCTATTCATTACCACCCCTATTACTCAGCTACGGACCGTATGAGCGAATCATTTGATCAAACTTGGTATCCTCAATTCCGTTCATCTCACGAGCAATAACACCCCGATCCTAGGAGGAGGATAAACACTCACTCACAACGGATATTAAAAGTGATAAATCTAGAGGCTAACATAGCATGACAACCGATCGAGCTTTTGATTTAACACCCGTGGAAATTTGCAAGGCACCTGTCAATTCTTTCGTTGCCTAGGGCACACACCTTCATCTTTGAGATCTTCGTGGAATTCATCTTCAAAATGGAAATGGGACTCCGCGACAGCACGAACAAACGATTGACGAGTACTTTCAGCGTGCATGTTTTGAAGGTTAGGCAGGAGCTCAATATTCGTCGGCAGATCAGAGTCATCATATAGCCGGCCACCCAAAGTGTCACTCAAAGTCATTGCAATCGAATCATCACGAGGCGAGCACGAACACGAACACGAGATGCTCACTAACACTCCGGGGCCAGGCATTGTTGTCTAAAGAACTAAAGAAATGGATCATTCTGCGTATGGACCTGTTTGAAGGGTTGATGCATGGTCTAGATAGAGGATGAAGTGCTGAAGAGGATTGGTCGTGATACATAGCGCTTGAATGAGAAGCCGGAGTGGAGAGAGATTTGACTGAAAGCAGGATGGTGGCACAGAAGCGCAGTTAGACCAAAGCGATGGGGAAAATGGCACGCCAGACGAAAGTGTCCGACCTGTAACGCAGTGATAGTGGGGTCTTATTGCTGCGCTAAGCTTTTCGCTTGAACAGACAACAAAGATGTCGATTAAAGAATCCGTTCGATAGAACTGCGATGACCAAAATGACGACGATATTTTCTTGCTCTTCCCTTACCTCATCGTCCGTCAATCTATCACCTAACTTCCCGTCCACCTCCCGTCTCATCTCCACAAGCATCCCTCGCGGCCGATCAAACAGCCCTCATACGCAGCCACAACCACATTCACATGCACGCCATCCATCCTCACCTCCGCAATCACAATCACACGTTCCTGCATCAGCATCCTCCTCCACAAGCTTATCTTCCTTCGACGTCGTTTGCCATGCGCCAAGTACCCTCTTTCCTTTTCCAGAAAATATGAGCGCATTCGCGGACCCTAACGTGTTTCACCTTGACGAAGGAACAATCATAACACGACATGACGGAACGCGACGCAACGCGACATGAGACGGGACGGACGACGGCAGATGTCAATACAGTAATCAACCCACCCCATTGTCGTCGTAGTCGTAGTCGTGGTCTTAGTCGTAGTCGTGGTCGTGAGATTAAGGCATATCCCGGCCACAACAACACCCAGGTACGCACGTGCCCCACGGAGAAATCTTACATTCGAAAGGAAGAAAGGCGGCAAGAAGGGCGATCACAAGGGTATCGTCGGAACGCTGTTTCTGTCTGGTAAGTTTGAGATGAACGGGTATCTGATCGGGGTCGGTGGTTTTCACGGCGAGAACAAGGGGAATGCGGCAGCGCCGAGTCAAGTCACGGGCGTGAGGGTCCTTTTTGTTCGTCAATTTCGGACGGCGGGTTATTGACAGGGTTGGGTCGGATATTGAGATCGCCTGAGTGAGGCTGTACTTTTTTTTTCTCTATCTCGTGTCTATCTGGTAGGTGGGGTGCGTCGTGGATGTGACCGTGTGACGGTGGAGTGGAGAAGGGATGGGCGGTGGGTGGAGTAAAACGGTCGTCGCGTCGGGGGACAGAACGGTGTTTATTGCAACTTAGTCAGGATAGCCGAGCATGGATGCTGAGAGTGAGTCGAGATAGTAGTCTCATTGGCGGTATGATTGATGGAGCAACGGAGGGGAACGCATGGACTACACGTGTACTGTGGCAAAGGCAAAGCAAATTCCCATCGTTGTTGCACTGCAAGTATACGCGGAGAGGGCGTTGTCAAGTCTTTTTCCTCCGGCTCTAGCAACTACTCCAAAGTACTATCGTTTGCATACCCGAGTAAAAAGCATACAGAGTTCACACATCCAGCCGACACGTACGCTACACATGTCGGGTGTCTGTAAACTCTCGGTGTTAGCCGATAGGCTCCATGTTTCGTGGTCCAGTTAGTTTCCTTCTGTTCGCCTCGTTCGTCTTCCCTAACAGGGACAAAACAAGGGTACCTGTCCCCACATCAGTCACCCTGCGAAAGCCAAGCCCAAAGAAACACAGCGCAAAACTGGGTCTTTGGACGCCTTCGGTCCGCGGCAAAGCAGGGTGCTGGTGGGGACGGCGGAACTCAGTCGGTCCTGGGAATAATGCCTTTTTTCCGGAGCCGAAGGTGTTGTAGGAAGAGGAAACTTGGATTTTGGAAAGTTGAGACCCAAGGTCCACTGTAGAGAGGGTCTGGCAACGTCATGTTGGACCGTGGTGTTGGGTTCACGAAGGTTTGTTGATGCCTGGTTATGCTGGGAAAGTTTGTGGTTGGAAACCTGGTGGTTGGGCTGCGTGATGTGGCGTCATTGTGCATGCGCGCTGTCGACGTCGTTGTCGCAAGTTGATGGCGTGATACTCCGGAGTACCATGAACATGTACGTCACAAAGCAAAGGTGTTAGCCATGATCTTGGATTCTGGAGGAGCGAAGTGACAGGCAAGGTGTTGTAAGCGAAGTAGATTCTATTCTTCTCGTCTCGCTAAGTGATGACGACTAATTGGGATATCGTGACTGTTCGTTCCGAAACAAAACAAAGTCAGGCTGCAAGCTGAGCGACAAATTGTAAAATGACAAGAAAATATGCATGCTGGATGCGATGATAGCGACAGATGGATGTGTGGCGGCGAACACTTCGCGATTGCCAACGACTGAGCAGCTGGGAGGGTATCGTAACCTCTAGAGGACAAACAGGAACGGAGAGTAGAGGACAAGGAAATGCCATGTCGTGCGCCATGGGTACACCGGGTATTATGCGCTAAGGTTGCTTAAGTGCCAAGGCGGCGAGCAGGGAAGAAGGTAGTGGCTGGTAGAGTAACATGTACAAGGTAGTCGCATGCTGGGGTGGTTCGTCTATGCATTTATGCGAGCGTTTCGAAACAGATTGAGTTCTTGATGCGTTCATAGGGAATCCATGAAATCCATTAGTGACTTGCGTCGTCGGATTGCGCGGCTCTTGATGCTGGATGTCGCGTCATCGGTCTCGCTGCCAGGAAACTCTGGTATGACGAGTGTAGGCTCACGCTCGTTGGCGCCCCGGGCGGTCATTCTGCCCATGGTGGTGCCCATGGTGGTGGAACGCTTTTGCTGCATAGTGCTGAGTTGCGGGACCGGAGGTGCGTTCTCGGGTGTGGGTGCCCGCTTGGACTCGCTGCCGCGAGACTTGGGTCGGAGGATGGTAGATGCGCGGCGGAGCTTGTTTGGGCTAGAGAAGTTGTCCGAGCCTTGGATGGGTGCAGTCATGGGGGTCATGGGCGCTGGTGTCAATGGTGTGGTGGGTCCTCCTGGGGCTCTGCCGTTGATGCGAGAGTCATATGGCTTCTTCGCTGGCGAGATGGCAATCTTGGCCAGGGACAGCTTCATAGAGATGGAGCGTAATCGTCGGTGCGCAGCGGGCTTCTTGATGATGGGCGATGCCGCGCTCTTGTTCTGGTTCTCGTAGGGGTCGGAGCTGAGGAAGGACAGAGCGGGCGACTGGGGAGTTAGCGGGGCGAATTGTGATTGCCTATGCGATTGGTATGATGATTGTGATGTCTGTATCCGTGACAGATCAAGACGGGACTTTGTGGGAAGGTATACGGAGGAACGAGCGGAGGTGGAGGGCCGGCGTGGTGGCTCGCTCGGTGCAGGGGAGTAGCTGCGACTTGAGCCGGTCTGGAAGGACGATGTGAAGGAAGCGGAGTCGGGGTATGTGCTAGGCTTCTGGGTGATGGGGCTGTGGCTGGTAGAGGGTCGTCGAGGCTCGGGGTCGGCGACGGGTGATGTGGAGCGAGACAGAGGTGGTGAAGCCAGGCGGCTTGTGGGCATCACCTTCATAGACAGGCGCTGTGCCTCGTCGGCCTTGCGTAGCTTGCTGGCTGTGGTAATTGGAAGCAGGTTCGCGACTGAGGCCGAGCGCGGCTGCACCGTTGGGCGATCGACAGGTGAGCGGCAGTCGACCTCAACGACCTTGGGACGACCTGCATTCGCGTAGGAAACTAGCACTGCCATGTCGCAGCTCTTTCCCTTGTCCCATCTCGACACAGACATCGTCCTCGCCTTGCACTCCTGTGAGAGGTCGTGGACAACCACGTCATCGTAGTCATATTCTGATTCCGAGGCGGAACCGTCGTCGGCAGTGAGGTCTTCTTCGCTGGAGAGGTATCGCTCCTGGAAAACTCTGCCTTCCTTCTTGGTGGAGGGACTCGAAGTTGGTGCAGCGGCGGAGTCTATGCGCAGGGTGTCGGGAGCATCGTCGCACAGGTTGGGGCTCGAGGCGGCACTGTCAGTACTGGAGCGCTGTGGGCGGGCGACAACTTCAGGCTTGGCGAAAGTCCACTGCTTCAATTGCGAAGTCACAGCAACGTCGACCATGATTGCAGAGGGAGAATGTAGTTGCACCGGCGTGGCGGGTCCGGTGGGTGATATATCGGACTGGCTATCGGACTGAGCGGCAGCCGGGACGAGTTGAAACCAAGGCGTGCAGGTGCTACGCGCCAATGGTCGGAGACGTGTGCGTGGCTTGGGAGCACCAGGCAAGCCGGCGCTGAGTGAGACTGGGTGTTGCACGGGGTGTTGTGTTGGAGCGTGAGATGTCAGAGGGTCAGGTGTAGGCACTGAGGGGCACTGTATGTAGGCGTGGTGTGCAGTAGGGTGGGTTGAG